CAAAAAATCTATTCAGGATGAAGTCACAAGTTGGTATATTAGCCCTTAAGAATAAAACTTGTAAAAAGTAGTCAAATAATTTTCTTAGAATATTTTTGTCAACGGAATATGTATCGAACAGATAGTTTCAACAAATCAAGTTTGCGTTCATATGAAAGGTGTTAAATTCAAAGCCTGCATGATGGGAGTTTGTAGGAAGAGAAACTAATTTGAAAACCTTGTTTCTTTCATGTGGTATGTTATATGTATTTAACAAAAAATAAAGACACGTTATTATTATATCCTTTATTATATCAAGAAAAAACATTTTCATTGCTTGGATGGGGACAACTATTTGATTTCGATAAAACCAAAACAACGTTCTACCATATTCATTCTACATGTGTTAACTACTGTAGAAACTGTACTTGTTCAACAGTGTTAAAACATTTTAGTCAAGGTTAAAAATAGGTATTGTTAATGCAATCATTAGATCTGGCTACTTGTTTTGTTCAATATCACTAGAAATTATATTACGTCGCACATTCAAAGAGGATAGTTACGGATACTTTATGTGGCCATTCAGTACATACAATGAAATTAGTTTGTGATTAACCGTGTCACCTTTCGGAATGACTTTTCTTATGTAGGTGACAGTTTTGATAGGCGAAATTAAAATATGAATTGTCATTTGGGATCCACTGAACATCAGTGTATATCGAGTTCGGCAGAGCCGTACTCTTACTCTCTGACCTGAAAGACCACTTACCATACGACCTAATCGGCTTCGTTAAGAAGCAGGGTTTATTTGGTCCAGAGATGTGAATAGGTGTGAGCCACAATAAACCCTTACAGGTTGTGAAGGAGGGTCGAATAGATCCACTCACTTTTGACTTAACCTAACTTAATCTTGAAATTGTATGTATGTTCAGTTTATTAATTGGGTACCTTCAAAGTGTTTTGTTTTAATTTGCTAAACAAAAATGGTATTGTCAGAGAGGCAGCGTATCGGAGTTTAATGCAAAATATTTAGAAAATCACATTTCACAGGCTACTGTAAGTAAGATCCTACACAAATTTGAATAACATGGTACAGTGGAGGACTTGCCCAGAAGTGGTTGGCCACATGTTTTGGACGAAGATCAATTTCAGAATATGTTCAAACACATCTCCACCTCTACTTAAACAAACATGTAATTTCTTCAAAAGATTGTCATGTGTAGCGCTTCTGATCAAGTCTGGAGTCAAACTATTGAAAGCAGTTATAACTCTCGATTTCATATCTTCCATTGTTGTTATTGGTGTAGAGTAAACCATATTTTTAATGAAATCCCACACGAAATAATTTAATGGATTGCCATCTGGTGTTCTAGGAGGCCAACGAAAAGATCAATTATTACCAATCCATCTGTCTTCGAAGAATTCGGTTAGAGCTTCGCTGACTGAATGAGAATTATGGGGTGGAGCACCATCCATTAGGTTACCATACACGTCCTCTTCCTGCTCTATTATTTAAAATAATTTGAATTCCATTCCTCAGTAAATTTTCATATATTGATAATCAAATTATCATCATAAAACTCGATATAAAAGATTGACACATTCTTTATGGGCACAAAATACATTGAATTGCCATCTTTCTTGAAAACCTCTTTGGCGGACAACATGGAAATTTTCTGGCGCCCAATAATGACTGTTGTGTCTATTGAAAACTCCATTTTTTGTGAACTTGGCCTCATCTATCCATATGATATTGTCAAGGAAATGTTCATCCTCTTGAGTCTTGACAAGTAACCATTCAAAGAATTCCACTCTACGAGGGCTGTTTCTATGCTTCCCTGCTTATCTATCTATTATTATTATTATTATTTGGTAATCCCGTATCACCTCGCGTCTTGCGTTCATAAGGTTACGTACAGTTGAGAAAGAAATTTCCGTTAAATCTGATGTTGCTTGTAATAGTTTGTTTCCCTCGAAACCAAACTTGAGATGTAGATTTTTATATACATTGAAAAACATACTCTCTGTGTTTCAATATTCAAATGCATCCGAATTTCATTCACTGATATCTCTTTTTCGCATTGTTCACCATCTTAATTGGAATCACTACACAGGAAAAAGTGTGCGTTGTTATTACACTCATTATTACTATTAGTACTTGTCCAAGGACACCACATTTTAAACAGATAACAAAAATTTTAAGCAATTATAACTGCAACAATATCGAATTTCAACACTCAAATCGCGATCAGTTCGTGAACTGAACATTCACGACACGACGGCGATAACAATCCCCGCCAACTTTAAGTGTGCACAATATCGTTCACTTCGACTATATACAAACAATGAATCCTACAATTAAATTTATGATTGATGTGAAATGCTGAATCATTTTCACTGAGAATGAATTCGATGAAAGTAAATGTTTTTAAGATATAATAATCTTAAAGATTTATAGGATAATAATCTCAAGCAAAATGGGATTAATTCATGAATGTTAGTGTTTAAGGATAAGAGATACAAGTTATAAATGTATTTTCGATTATCTATATCTATATACATATCTTACCCAAGATGGTAGTTCATCAATGGCTTTCAGAACGTCTTTTTCCGTCAAAGAGCTGGCTTTTGATTTGCTGGATATTTTTCTGCTTTTGTCTGAGGTCTTCGTTTCGAACCACACCAGAGTGCAAATGGTGAGAATCGGAAGAGTTATCGACCAGTTCAAATAACAAATTATATAGCCCAGAAAAAATAAAGCTGCCTGGAAAATAAACAAAATTGAAAATAGGTGTGACAAATAGTTTTAAATTTTTACTCATAGATAGATATTTATTCTTGAAAATAAATGAATATGGATTATAGACATGAAATGCAGTCAAGCTGCTGGACAATGATTACTTGAAAACCAAAAGTTAAATAAATAAATATATATATA